TTGATTTAGGTTGTATGTAATACCTGACAATCCAGATATGTGAGTTTTACGACACATTTCCTTATTTCAGGTATTTCGGCTCTAGGTTAACATCAGTAAATCTGCAGTAGGCTACTCAAGTGAATTAATGAATGAATGAATTAGCAATTCATTCATGCAGTAGCCTACAGAAGAGAAAAAAAGTACAACAGCGATAATCAAACGCAGTCATGCAATTCACAAAATAAAGATTTAATTAAAAGCATGGATCATGAATCATTCAAGTTTAATCGTAATAGAATCGTAACATGAGAGCGCATCGCGCACGTGCGCTGAGCTCCACTGTGACTCAATGCTTTTCTCTTCTTTTTTTTTTTCTTCCAGCACAGACTCTAAAACCGGACCTACTGTTAGAGTAATTTCTCAAGCCCCTCGGGCTCTGGCTCGACGCATCTCGGTGTGAAGTGTGTTTGTCATGTCACTCGGCGTCGGGTCTCACGCGTTGAGCGCATCCCGAAGGAATAACACCTTCATTTCGACAGAATAAAGGTGCGCGAGAGTCATTCACCGAGGACGCTCACGAAACAACTTTTCTTTCCTGTTTATTCAAACAAATCGCTTTTTTTTTACGGAGAAGACGGTTCAAAGAACAAACAGTGCAACGTTATTCGGATAAATGCAAAAAGAAACGCTTCACTACCATCTAACAGGTGAGTTTAAATTGATTTGCTTGTTATTATAAGTAGGTATTTATTCTCTTAATATTAGTTTTGTCTCTTTGTTGACACACAGAAATGCAGGAACAGGTTATTCCACATTGCACTCTGAAACGTGTCTCAGTCTGTTATGGCATAAGGACTCCTACATGATCTCTACTAGATATATAAGGGAACTCTGGATGGATGAGTAAAGACTTTGTTTGGATGGATGCAAGATCAATGATATGCTACTACGATATCATTATGTTTCTCTGAATGGCATGCCAGTATAACTGAACTGAACCTGAAGGACTTTATTGGCACGGGAATGCAATGGAATATGAACTTTGGTGCGACTCAAACACTTCACGTCTAGTGATGCAGTGAGATATTAGATGGCAGTGATGGATTTGAACTTGACGACGGTCATTGACAGCGGCTTGGTGGAAAGCGACCGCTCCACGCGGGTTCTGACCGGTTGCTTTCTGTCCGTTCTAATCCTCTCCACTTTGCTCGGGAACACACTGGTCTGTGCAGCTGTCACAAAGTTTCGCCACCTGCGCTCTAAAGTCACCAACTTTTTTGTCATCTCGCTGGCCGTGTCAGATCTGCTGGTGGCCATTCTGGTCATGCCCTGGAAGGCTGTGACAGAGGTTGCAGGCTTCTGGCCCTTTGGAGCGTTTTGTGACATTTGGGTGGCTTTCGATATCATGTGCTCCACGGCGTCTATCCTGAACCTGTGCGTTATTAGTGTGGACCGATACTGGGCCATTTCCAGCCCGTTCCGCTATGAGAGGAAGATGACTCCCAGAGTGGCCTTTGTGATGATCAGCGTGGCTTGGACTCTGTCCGTTCTCATCTCCTTCATCCCGGTGCAGCTCAAATGGCACAAGGCTCAGCCGATAGGCTTTCCGGAGGCCAATGCATCTCGCAGGGCTCTGCTGACGGACAACTGCGACTCCAGCCTCAACCGAACGTACGCCATTTCGTCCTCGCTCATCAGCTTCTAC